TAGTTGATGAGCGCGCTGCTCCAGAGGAGCAATACCCATCAGCTTGCCGAACAGGCAAGCATGGGAGGGAAGCATCAAGCCAAAAGTGATTCATGCCACTTTCCTCCTGACGGACTCTGTTTTGGTTTATTGAGACATTTATTAAACTGAGCAAGAAACGTAAGCAGTTTCTGTGGTGAGGACGCAAAAATGCACACAGAAATCTGTATGTCTGCAAGGCCGACGTACAGAGTGAGATGAAATTGCCAGAACAGTCTGAACAAAGTATTAAATGAATAAATGCATTGGAACCAAGTGTCAATCTGTCAGCGTTATGAAATTCTAGTTATATTCATCTCTTTGTTTTCCTGTTGTCTGGCAGTTTTATTTCTCTTGACACTGCTGCACATTTCTAGCTGATGCAGACCTTTGAAACTGGAGCTAATGTTGTTCTCTGTAATATTAATATAATTACTACTATTTAAATTGAATCAAGCGTGGAGTTCGCTGAATGATAGAAGATGATATCTCTTCATTTTCATAGGTTTTTCTGTGGCTTTTCAGCAGGTTCGCTCATCCCTCTCTGAGGCTTCATTTTTAGATTTGACACATGGAGATGTGTGAATGTGTTCAATCATTTCACACATCAGGAAGTCTGAAGTGCAAAAAAACATGGCTGCTGTAGTGCAGCAGCTCGTCATGTGACACCCATCACATAAAGCCGTCAGCACCAACATTATGTGCCACTTCACTGCACATCGGCACAGCCACACAGTGTGGGGATAAACAGTATGGATACATTGTAGTTGTCTATTTGTTGTGTAAAAGAATAAATCTACACGTGAGTGTTTACTTTCTGTGCGGCTCCTCAGTAATTACCTGTGGAGATGGTGCTCACAGTCCGGGCTCTGAATAAATAATCACACAATTGTGGGTCATGGAGCACTGTCAGAAGTGACCCTGTTCTCATCCATTGTGGTAGCCAGGAAAGGAAAGACCAGAAAAGGAGATGACCTGAAGCTTCATATACATTTATCCTTATTAGCTGACTGTGGGTGTCTTTGTCTAGAGGTCGCTAATGTCTGCCTTGAACAGCACACTCTCACCTGTACCAGATTGCTCTGCTTTGTGATGATACATGCTGTAAATTCTCAGATAAAAGCTGGTATCCATGGGGGGTCCACTCTCTCCACTCTTGTTCCCTGTCTGCCTTTTATACAGTCAGTTTTCAAATAAAGACAAAATGACAAAACAATGATTTTGATAAAGAAAAAAACAAACAAACAAAAAATTGATATTCAAATAATAACCAAAACCAAAACTCAGCACACTCCTGAACCTTTTTAGATTAAATGTCAATCTGTAACGAGGGGGATTATGCTGTTTGAATAGCGAATAGGCTTCAGTGTGAAAAATCTGTGCAGGAAGAATTCAGCTGCACAAAAAGATGTAAAGTAAAAGGGGTTTGAACAATTTCTTAGTCGTAACAGTATTTATGTGCTGAGTTCGACATGACTGCTGATGTGCTGATGGAATCAGTGCTGTGGAAATGTACATCATCCTAAATTTGTCAAGACGATGGGTAAACATGGAGGACGCGTTACATTTCCATTCACATCAAATAGCAATTTAAAGTGGGAACAGATTAGAAAATGTGTCTGTCTAGAATATGGCTAAAGTATACTTAAAAAAAAAGAAGAGTACCAGGAATAAAGGCAGTCTGTTGTCAATCCTGGACTAGACGCACCTCTTATATGCTTCCTACTTAATGCCTCAGAGCCAGATCCTCTTGAACGTGCACCCCAGCACTACCATTTTTTTTTTTTCTTTTTTTTTTTTTTTTGGTGGACAAGTGTGATCTCTGGCTCACTGGGACATTACCATTTTCGCTCTCTGCTCTGGTAGGGTCATGCCAGCTCTCTGGGTCTGAGTCACCCTACAGCCACATGGCATCTGATGCCCTCACACTCGCCCACTCACACTTCCACTTTTCCATCCCCATGCTGTCGTTTTCTGTGACTTCATCTCTTTCCTGTGCAGCTCTAGTCCCTCTGTGATCCAATTTCTACTCACCGAATTCAAGAACGCCTTTTTCAGAGGATCAAGGTTTTCCTGTCGCTGCTGTGGGAGTATATACATCCTCTGATATTTAGTTTATGCCCTCATTGTCTAATTAATGGACTGTCATAGTAGTCTTACACGATTTAGCCCATTAACCATAACAAGGTTTTAGAGATACACATAAAAATAAAGGTATGCTTTGAAAATGGTGGTCAGCAGTGGTGCTCTTTGATCTTGAGGGACATTTCCTGGTGATCTGTAAAAACAGCTGGATGTGATGTGAAATTTTGTCAGTTATTTACCAATATAACAGAAATATAAATCCAAATAATATAATATATATTGGTGCAAATGTAGTTTTCTCTATAGGGAAGAAGGTGTTGTAGTTGTTTATCTTTGAGGTGGTGTTGTGCTCTTATATTGCTCTTGTTGTTGAGATACAGTTGAGCAGTCCACTGTCCTCAGGCCATTGTTCAGTCGGGGGTTTTATGGGAGGCTGCGCAGCCTTGATTCATGAGTGGTCCTGAAACTGCTGAGAAACTACAACAGGCTCAGTGCTATTAACCCTCAGGGATATTTCTTGAATCTCTCCCCATCGAGGCGGGACTGTAACCTGGTATTAAGAGCTGTCCGTTTAGGAGCTGTTACTCTATGTAACTATGTTAACAGCTGTGAAATAAGAGTATTTATGAAATCAAGATATGTGATGTAGGCTAGGACATCGAACATCAGTACTTCTTAAATATCCACAAATGTATCTGTATCATTGAGAATCAAAAACCAAACACATTGAACATTTGATCAAATTATTTCTCTGGTTAACTTATTCTAGGATCAGATACCTCTTGATCTCAATCAGAATAATCTCCTAGTTTTATATTGTTGACTTTAGACCAAACATGTTTATATTCCACAAAAATTTATTCTTTTGTATCAGTATGGAAACTTGGAGATTGTTTTGGCTCCAGAGAAACTAATAAAGTTTATATTTACCCTTTAACAAAAAACGTCATTGTTGAACATTACCCCTTTTTTGGCTTAGCTCGATCTGTTGCTCAACTTTCTGCTTATTTGTTTATCCTGCAGTCTATGTTCAAGGTCCCAGTGTCCCAAGTGTTGATCCATAAGAAATTGAAGTGTTGATCCATAAGAAGATATATTTATAGTTTTAAGAACCAAAAACCATCTCAATGTAGTTTTACATCTCTCTCAGGCTTCTCTCTGGAGCTCTAGTGACAACAGGTTGGTGAGCCAATCACAAGAGAGGAGGCTCTGAGCCTCCCTTCTGATTGGCTGACTGTTTTCTGAGTGATCGAATAAAAATATTGCAGATTACAGGTAAATACTCCGAAAAAAACAAATCCTGCGAGGTTGGAATGTGGGTCCAGGTGGGCGGGGCTTGGGGCATGGATGAGAGCAGTGACTGTATCGTAGTGACATCACAAAGTTACAGAAGTCAGTTTCTGAATACAGGCTGTGTGCATTTCTCTGCGGAAATCTCACTTCATACAATATGGGACCTTTAAGATTACAGCTTCTTCAGTAGAGTCAACTTGAACAAATTATGACTAAACACTCTCAAAGTGCCAAGTCGGTCATCAGTTGTAGCTCTTTTCATTAGGCATGACAAATACGTTTCAGACACAAATATCACGCTGCGTGACGACATGCTGTCATTCACAAAGTGATCTTTGTCCAGAAAGGAAAGGTGCCAGGAAAGACCCACTGTGCTGAACCCTGCAGGGCTAAAAACACTGCTGTCTGTCAGCCAGCTGCCATCATTTTCACTCTCTTCTTCAGACACATCCCTCTTCATAATGATTCACTCATTGCCTCCGATGGTCGTGCAGATTTATGCTTTGGCTCGTCTTGAGCTTAGGCTGCACTTTTGCCAAGAAGACAGCGGGTAATACTTTAATATATAGACACGTAGGCAACATCATTATTCAGCAGAATTAAAGACTGTTATTTTTTTTCCTCACACACCCACAGATACTCCAGCTGTCCAGCTGTACATCTGGAGATAACAGCTGACTCTTGTTGTGTCCGAAATTCTCTTGTTCCCTAACGAACTAGGTCAGACATGTTACTTGGAAACTTTTAAGCCTTCGTTTTATCAAGACTAATTTAGAGCATAGCCTCATCTGAAATTGCTCCATGATATCAAGCCATATTGCCATGGATTGGTATTTATACTTCAAAATCAATAAAAACCTAAGTAGTACCTGTAGTTTTCTTCCATGGCTAGAAAAGTCAACAACATGCTTATATTTTGAGTGTTTAGTAGCCGTCTTTCTGTCCACTCTACTTTTTTCTACATGTCCAACACTGAACTGAAGTCTTATTCTATGTCCTCACAGACGTGTGTGTAAGTGTGTGTCTGTCCATATGTTTGTCTGGGAGTAAGGTCCCTCTTTGAAACCCTGCTGGCTGCTCTTGAGATGAAATGGCACACAAGTGAGTGCCTCTGAGATCACATGGCTCTCAGACTGTGCAGTCAGAGAATGGGGATGGGGGGGGGGGGGGGGGGGGTAAACGCGTGGAGGAGGAGGAGTGAGGGGAACTGATGGAATTGGAGCTCCAGTAGCTGAGCCACTGCCTCTGATTGCAGCTCTTGATAAAGAAAGTATCTGATAGGCAATCAGAGCTGTGGCCTGAGAGGATTTGAAATTTTTTTGTTGGACTATGGATTGGTCCAGCTGTTCGTCTGTTCCCCTGTCTTTGAGAGTGCTGATGGGATTCTGACAGCACACAATGAGTCTCCACTTGTGCTTCAAAATGACATGTTTGGGGAATTATCACAATTGCGAGTCCAAAACAGAGCTGTGAGCTGATATTAACAGGGGTCAAGAAAACCCACAAAAGTGACATAAGAGGGTTGTCTAACCTTGAACTGGTAAAGCATTTTGTGTCTTATACACCAATTGAAATATTCACCACATCTTTTCTTTATCTTGCAGAGTGTGTTCACTGTTCTTTTGGGACCTTTTACCTTCTTCAGCGCTCAGAAGACCAAATATCTTCAGATCCTCACCTCATTCATGCGCTGGATCGGTAAGAAAAAATATCCTACAATATTCCCTCTCTAACTCTGATTATTCAGTTTACTCACATGTTGAAGATTTTGGACTTCAAACATTTTGACTTCTTCAAACATGAGATTTCTTTTTGACTTTCACCTTCCTTTCCCTGTTTCCTGATTCCCTTTGCTTTCCTCCAGCCGCCTCTTTCTCCTCCCTTTTTTTCAACCTACACATATTTCCATTTTCTCGATGTCTCCCCACATTTCTTTGATGCCCCCCACCCTACCTCCTCTCCCCCTGCCTTCGCCTGTGTGGCTGCTGTGCTCAGGTCCGTCCATCATGGTTTGGTCCTGCTCTGTGTCTTTGATTCCCATCTCCTCTCATTCCTCAGCCTGACAGGCTTGACAGCCCGTCCCAAGCTTGATTGGACCGTCACTCACAGGGCGACGGACGAAAATAAACCGCCCGTCCTGGGTCCGCTGTTAAAATCACAACACCACTGAATCATGGTGCTCCCGCCACCCCCGCACAGCCGCGTGCAAGCTCGCATAAACAACACACAAACGCAGCAGCGTCCACACACTGTCCACTGGCTGGCTAAATAACCTCACCCTCCCTCGGCTCTCTATGTAATTGATTGGTTGTGCCTTTTCCAGGGCTCTTTACAGCACTGGTTAATGATTCAGGATATCTCCATCTCTTATGTTTCCTCCAAGTATTTGAGCAACAACATGAGAAAACACAACAGCAAAATGAATAAAATTATATAAAATAGAATTATCCTTTAAAGGTTCCATATATATAAAGGTAGATGTCCATGTGCTCTTTGATTATAAGTCAGGTCTAGGTTCTATATTAATACTGTGAAAGTATCAAAGCGCTCAGTCCACAGAGAAATGCACACAGCCTGTATTCAGAAACTGAGCCTTAAAACCAGCCGTCAGGACTTCTGGAACTTTGTGATGTCACAACAATGCAGCCGCCACTCTCATCCACGCTTGAAGCCCCGCCCACCTGGACCCACCATCCAGTGTTTACCTGAAATCTTCTAGGTCTATATTTTTATTAGATCACTCAGAAAACAGTCAGCCAATCAGAAGAGAGGCTCAGAGCCTCCTCTCTTCTGATTGGCTCACTGACCTGTTGTTACTAGAGCTCCAGAGAGAAGCCAGAGAGAGGAGATGTAAAACTACACTGAGATGGTTTTTGGTTCTTAAAACTATAAATATATCTTCTTATGGATCAACACTTCAAATAAAACACAGGAGAAGAGAAGAACAGGGGTAGTAACCTTGTGGAATGCTTGGAATCACAGCACCTAATTATCAATCCGTAGATGTCCATTCTTTCCCCAGTAGGTATTCTCTTAGGTCATTAATATTGACCATTAGCTTTTTAGCTGTAAATATTTGTGTTTAATGAGCAGAACCGAGCACATTTCCTGTTCCGTGGAGACAGTGTGTCTCATATGTGGATGGTTTGTTGGAGCTTTTCTGACAGAGCTGCTTTTCGAGGACAACAGAATGTATTATGCTGTTAAGACATTGTTTCTTTTCAGAAATGCATAAGTATGTCTCAGTTTTTGGACAGCTGCAAGGTGTTTGGTGTGATATAAAGTGGTGTTCTGCTCTCAAAAGCGCTGTAATGCCTTGTAATAAGAGGCTACAATATCCTGCAGCACTCCCCTGTTTACACGTGGTTGTGCCTTTAAATCAAATGTTAGACAGTCAGAGGTAGTTTTCCAGCTATTTTACAGCTGCTTCGAACATGTCAACATCTGATCCATTTCAGAAATAACAAGCTTAAAGTGAAACGCCTTTGTAGTATCAACCACTGAAGCCTTGCAGGCTTTAAAGGTGACTGTAAAAGCTTCTTAGTTTGCTTTTTCATGAAATCAATCACAGCCACTGGTCACTAAAGGAGGAAACTTTGTTGGAACATTACTTAAATACAATAAATATACAGCAGCAGTTCCTGACCTTTTCCAACGCATGGCCCACTAGAAAATTTAAAAACATGTACAATGTGGAGGACAAATAATGCATCGTCAGAGCACTTTTTATTTTAATGATAACAATCAAAGATTTTTCTTGACTCTCTTTCCTTTTAATTCTTCTTGTTGCTAACCAGCTCTACATTGTGATTCTCCAGTTTTTGCCATGGATGTAATCTTTTACTGCGCAGTCACAGAGAGATAAAACCAGTACATGATGTGGTCCAGTGGCATCATCATCATTGGTTTATCACAGTGATTTAAACTATGTTTTTAAAGATTGATTCATTTTAAAACATTATGTGTAAATAAAATATAGTTATTAATATTTTATATAATATATTAAATATATATAATTTTTTATTTATACAAAATTGTATCCTACTGTTTTGCAAATGAATTGATGGCCCTCTTGGGCCACGGCCCACTGATACACAGCATTTATACAGTATCAACTCAGTTTGATTATATTTGTGCTCCTGGGTCTCAGGATCTATTTTATTTTGAATCACTAACACCAAACCCTCTGCCGACATACAGTAAGACCCCCCCCCCCCCCCCCCCCCCGATCATTCCTCATTCCTCACCACTCCTTGGATACACCTGCGCTGCCCTGGGTGGCGACATGTGTGCTGGATGTCAGGGTTAGCAGCTGGCTGGTGCGTCGGGGCGCTGCTTCCTGCCCTCGGCTCAGGCCTCGTCACGGTCGTTGCCACTCAACTGTAGTCACCTTCTTGTCCAGTGAGCCCTGTTTCTTTTACACCAAACATGAGTGATGGTGTGGCTGCCTGCTGCTGCGCTGCCTGCAACATGCTGGGATTTTCAATGGAGCAGCCATTAGCACGTCTCAGTCTGAAAACCTTTTGCATCACAACTTGTGACTGCAATCATTTGGTCACTTCCTTTTTGTCCCTTTTTCATCTCACTTAATTCTACCTGGATTACAATGGAAATAGGCGCGAAGGGAAGTCTCTGGACGTATTTACACTTTTTGGTTTGTCACCGCGCTATATCTTAAACACTGCAAATTTATATCTGACACAACTAAAGGGGATTATGCTTTTAGCTATTCTGCCATTTTTAGCGCCCTCTGCGTCATGACCTGAGGGTGTCTCCTTTCAATATCTGAGACACTAGTGATCAGTCGTTTACCAAACACACAGAAAATGACGCCTCTCACAACTGTGCTCTGGTGTATTCAAGATAAAAACCCATAGAGATAAGAAGGGCAGTGCAACTCAGGGCAAATCAAACATCATAGTTTTTACTGACTGGCCCAGAGAGGCATTTACATGTGTTCTCATTTTTTATGTTACAAAAAAACAAGAACAGTACAGAACAATACAATAAGAATGGAACAACATATCAATTACATTTTAAGTGTTTCTGAATGACATAAGGATAATTCACTTCTTTATAGAGCAACTTAACACCCCGTTTTAGCTTTTTGGATTTTCACATTAATCAGTAACAATAATTATCGGTCATCACATATTTTTAATAAAGATAAGGGGAAAAGTAGTACACTACTTACAAGGTTACGTCCTTGTACCGTTTGGGTGTTTTGTCATACAGTGTTGTCGCTGAGTTCCTCCATCCAGACAGAATTACCTGATTCTGCTTGAAAAGGCAAAGAACTGCTGTTGCAATGAACGCTTCAAAGCACAGTGCCCGGCCTCCTATTTACATGTATTTACTGAGCTATTGTGGAGTAATTTGTGAGAGTGTTCCATAGTAACAACTCGGACCTCGGGTTGAAAGAAAAGCATTTATATTATATACATTTTTGTTAATGACTAACTGGAGTTCTTCTGGAGTTCCCCCCCCCCCCCGTTAACCTTTACATCTGTCTTTTCAACGCTGTGTGTAGTCATAACATACATCATTCATTCACTGTAGAACACGACGTTAACCTTTTTGATAAATCCTCATTTGCAAGTGGCAGAACCATTGTACACCCCTTATGTTACCAGTGCATGTTAGCAGGTAAAATTAGTGGTGGTAGTTGGAGTAATGGCGGTTTATTGGCCATTTACAGAATATTTCATCGACATGATACATTGTCAGCTCTCCACAACACCACCTCCTGAGTGCAACACTGAGTGGAGCAGAGAGCTTGTCTAATTGATATTGAGTGGTATGAGAGGAAAGGGAACCTGTTAACAGCCTCCTCAGTCAGTAAACGAGTGTTAATCACTTCCGCCCGTCTCTCCTGGGTTGCGTGGATAGCCGTGTGGAGCCTCTGAGGTTACTCTCTATATTAACTGTTGAGTCAGTAGCATATGCATCCTGCGTTTTTCAAGAGCAGCTGTCACATTTATTTCAGAGTAGAGCAGTGATAGAAAAGAAGTCGTTATATCGCTGGTTTGGATTATATTTACCGGATTATTTGTCTTTCTGAAGCATCTCTTTTTATTTACTAGAGCTTTAAAAAATTTGCTTTTACATGGAGTAAGACTGTAGATACAAATTTAATTCGTTTTTTTACACTTTCTCCTTGACATTAAAGGCCACGTTAAATCTTCTTTGATTCTACTTTCAATATTGTTAAACCATAAAACATGGAAACTTTAAAGGGGGTGGACACATTTTATTGGCTCTGCACTTGAAGTTGTGCCTGTATTAACACTATATAGTTTATTTAAAAAGGTAATGTTTACTTTTTTTTTGTTTCTTTTGTTTAATACAAACTCTTACAGATTATATTCAAACACACCTAAAAGCAATGATGGTCAAATAATTAGAGCGTAAGCCTGACTGTTGATAAACTGCATGTTTATGTGAAATACAGTAAACTGCACCAAGAAAACATGAGTGCAAGTCAAAGACTATTAGCTTCAGTGATCCGTGGCTCTCACCATCCATCCCATGCTCTTAGTTTACTACAGCATAGTATAAAGAGCCGAGGAAGTGCCCGCAGGGATATTCACAGCTGCCCAGTGCCATTCTAAATGGGTGAGGGAGGGAGATATTGTTTTTGAAGGTCAGCGGGACTCTGGTGGCTGGTTGAGTGGAAAGTTCAGTTTGTCCAGAGCATG